GCGTTCGTGACACGAGGGCACCAGGAAGCGATGATGCGGCCGAGTGAGGCTCCGCCCGGCCGAGCTCCCAAAAGAGCAGGCGCGGTCGTCCCCGCCCCCCTTCAGCGCAGTCGCGCGCAGGTGACACCGAGCCGAGGACGCTCGCAGGCGAGCTTCGAACGGCAAAAGAGCGGAGAGGAGAAGACGCGTCACATCTGCAGCGCCGACGACAAGTCCCGAGGACGACGTCGAGACCTCCGAGGTGTGTTGCGGAACACAAGTGAGCAATTGTCGTCCTCGCGGTCGATTCTCTTTTGCAAGACGACAGTAGTGAGAGGCAGGCAGCGTGTTGCCACATCAAACGCACGCTTTTGTTCGCGTTCCTACCTGCCCAGATGGTTGGGGGGGTGGGGGGGTCACCCGTCTTGCGTTTTTCCAGTTTGGCGGGCGCCATCCGCGAGTGGCTGACTTGTAATGCGCTCAAGTCTTCCCGCGACCTCAAAAGATGACCGATGAGGCGCCGACGTCGCTCGAAGGCACCGAGAAACCGCCCTGGAGGATAACCTCTCAAAATGCGTCGGATGAATTCGCGGCGGGGGACAAACTTGGCCGGCGCACGATTGATTTTTCCGGAAATCCTCGCTCGTGAAACCGCCGACTCTGAGCCGTTACGGCGCTCGAGTCGCGGTTGACGTTTTGCCGCGCGACGAGGGGCGCGACCATTGAAAGGACATTTCATGCGGAGCGGCAACTATTTGGCGCTCCTCCGATAACCCGCGCGTGCGCGCTTCCTCCGCAGGCGGCCGCCATGGCGTCGACGGGCACGCAGCTGCTGGGGAGCGGACTGTGCCTGCTGGGCTGGGCGGGCGTGATCATCTGCTGCCTGCTGCCCATGTGGCGCGTGACGGCGTTCGTGGGGAGCACCATCGTGACGTCGCAGACCATCTGGGAAGGCATCTGGATGAGCTGCGTGGTCCAGAGCACGGGCCAGATCCAGTGCAAGCCCTACGAGTCCACCTTGGCGCTGAGCGCCGACCTGCAGGCGGCCCGCGCCCTCACCGTCCTGGCGGCGGCGACCGGCGCCGCCGGCCTGCTTCTGGCTTTCGTCGGGGGCAAGTGCACCCGCTTCCTGGAGCGGGAGGGGCCCGGGCCCAAAGGCAGGGTGGCGGCGGCGGCGGGGGCGCTTCTGGTGCTGGCGGGAGCGCTGTGTTTGATTCCCACCGCGTGGGCGGCCGGCGCCGTGGTCCGGAAGTTCTACGCCGCCTCCGTCGACGCTCAGAGGCGCGAGCTGGGCGCCTGCCTCTACGTCGGCTGGGGGGCGTCCGTCCTGCTCGTCCTGGGAGGCGGGCTGTTCATCGGCGGGGCGCGACCCCTGGAGGCGCGCGGCGCCGACGGGGGCCCGTCCGTTCGATACCTGATGGTCCGATCGTCCGCCGGCTCCCTCCGCAGGGTTCCGGCCGGGACGGTTTTCAGCGGCCCTCCCAGCTACCGGACGGCTTCCGCCAAGTCCGAGCCGACCGGCGAGGCCGCCTGGGGCCGCGTCGGACAGAACTCCGAAAGGTCCCGGGCGCCGTCCGCCGGGTCTCAGCTGAAGCGGATGGACTCGACGCCCTCAGAGCGAAGCGACGCGCCGTCTGCCGAGTCACAGCTGAAGCCCGACGAGCGGGACCGCGCCAAGGCTTTGGACTCCGACGGGAGCCGACGTGACTCTGAGCCTTCAAAGACCTACCTCTGACCCGGACCTGCCACGCCACACATCTGGACCGGCTCACCGGTCGACACGAACAGATCAAAGTCCAGCCGTTGCCCTCGACCAACTGTGACCTGCGTACGCCAAAAAAGACCGAGAGCGACCGTTTCATGACTTCCACGTCCCGCCTCCGATGCGGACTTGCTAAACCAAGACCCGAATCATCGCCGACCTGGACCGACTGTCCCTTTGACATGAACTAACTAACTAACTCCATTTGACAGTTCAAAATCCAGCCATTGACCCGGACCAATTGACAGACGTCAAAGACCTCAAGCGAGCGTTCCATAGCAAGCCCTCCCTTTTGACCCGGAACGACTCGGCGGGTATTTCTCCAAGACCCAAACTAATGCTGCCCCTTTGATGCGCAGTGAGGCTTTTCCAAGTCCTCGTCGTACCTTTGCTCCGCCTCGACTCTTCCCCGGACACTTGAAAGAACTCGACGCCCCTCGTCCTCGGCTCGGAGAGGCAACGGGAGGCGGCCTTTGAGGTTCTCTTTCGGGGCGAGCGAGGTCGGGCGGGGTCGGTCATCGGAGGAAGCGCCGAGGTTTCACCAGCGCTTTTGGAGAGGCCGGTCTTCCGTGCTCGGGACACGTTCCGAGGAGAGGGCGTGACGAGAGCGCTCAAAGGACGACGGGGCTGGGGGCGCCGGGCAAGACGGTCGGAGGAAGACCGAAACGAGGCCCGACAGATCCGGCGACCCCGAGCGGGTTAAAGCCCAAAGGAAACGAAGCAGAAAAGGGCAAAGAGACGCAAAGACCTTTTTGACCTGGACGAACTCTCGACGGAGCCCAAATTGGTCTCTTGGACCCGAGCCGCCTCGAGTCGATGTTTTCTTTGACGCCAAAGTGTCTTTGCCGTGTTCAGTGACAGGAAGCGACGCGTGACCTCCACTCTGCCATCGTCTGCGTTTCGGTCATATTGGCCACTTTCAAACTGGGACGTTTTCAACCCGGAACCTCTGAAAGCAAAAAGTTTTGTGACTTGCGTTCCCTGCCCCCCCCCGGCAGACTCGTCCTCGTGACTGAGCAAGACGCGTCAACGCGCGCTCGTGGAAAATGTCGGCAGTAAAACTTGCGGTCGTCGTTGGACGGCGCCCGACGCCTTTGAGTCGTTTCTTTTCGGAGCGCGCGCATTTTGACTGACGGCCAGTAAATACTCGGCGCCAAGATGGCAGCCGCTACGCGAGGCCCCACGTCGCGTTTTGCCTGCGGCCGGTCCGACCGGTTTGACAGAAAGTCTTCGGCTGTCTTTGCGGCCGCCAAAAGGGTTTCGCCGGATCTCTGCGGCTTTTGCTTTCACCGCGCCGGTATCATCGCTCGTTGCGTCATCGCAACGCTCTTCTGCGCGCACACGCGCTGAAATAAGAACCGCGTTCAGGAAGTCCAAACACGGGCGCGGTTTACGAGCCCCCCGGGTGAGGCTCTTTTGCGCGTTTCAAAGGTCGCGCGACTGGCAGTTTGTCGTCTTTTATTCATTGGCATGTTTTCCATTATTTGGGAGTGGACGATGTCTGACCGCCGTGACGCCGACGGGCGGGCGGGCTTCATTAGCGATGCTTGGAAGAAGCCGACGTGCTGAAATCAAAGTCACAAACTTTTAGTCGTCTGCACTCGATATGTTCATATCAAGCAAAGTGGAATTTCTTTCCCAACAGACGACACTCGGCGCGTTGTGATGACGGCCGCTTTCGGGCGGGGAAGGTCGCGCTTTGGCCGCCGCGCTCACGTCTGATGTTGCTCGCCGCCGTCCGACGAGTGCGCGGGGAGTGGAGGTGAAAGCTCGGACGGATGGAAACCGGATGTGGAGGTGAAGTGTCTCTCCACCCGTCATGCGTCGCCGCCGCGCCAGCGGGCCCGTCGGTCAAGTCGGCGAATCAAAAGTCGGACAACTTGAATTCATAGAAATGACGTTTATTGCGCGACGGTCGTGCGTGGCGCGGCCGCGTCGCGCGTTAGAGCTTTTGAAAGAGATAAACGCATCCAGGGACGTGTCCCCCCTCGTGGTCGCTCACCCCTCGCTCAAACCGGCTCACGCGGGTCACCTCGACGCGGCGCCACAGTCCCTCGTCCTCCATTTTCTTCATCTCGCCCTCCAGGGCCACCTTGTAGGCGACGTTGTCGCGGTTGGCCCGGGTGCTCATGCAGACGAGGCCCCCTGCGCGGTCACGGGTTCGCAAGTCACTCGGAGACCCCGAGAGCGTCGACCGAGTCCGAGGCGGCCTCACCCCGCTTGGCGGCCCGCAGCAGCTCCCGGATCGCCTTCGCCGGAACGTGACTGGAGCTCAGGCCGCCGGAAATGGTCACCACGTCGAAGGCGCCTGCGGCGGGAGACGAGCGCGTCAACGCCTTCCCGACGACACTCGCCGCGGTCGTCGACGCCCGTCGATCGAGGGGAAGGGCGCCGTCGCGGCGGATCCGCTCGCGACCAACAGGCGGCGCCGTCGGGCTCTCCCTGCGGCCGCACACCTGTTGCTCGTTATGTCATGAGTGCTTTCAAAGGACGAGCGCCCGAGCGCTCGCTCGCTCGCTCGTGGTCGCGGCGTTGCTGCCGTCATGTTTGGCTTCTGCTTGGTTTTTACTTCAGTCATGTTTTGTTTGCTACTTTGGCTTCGTTTGGTTTTCAGGACTTTGTTTGTTTTGGATTTAGTTTTCTCTTTGTTTGAATACAATTTGTCAAGTACACCCTGCTCCCCCCTCCCTCCTGCCTGCTTTTTGGGGTCCCCCCCGCTACGTGACACTCCTAACATGCAGTTGTCCAGCGCTTTGTCCTTTTTCCCGGTTCACAGAAATGTCACGCAGCGGACGGACGGACGGACGGACGGCGATCACCTGACGGAACGGGAATCGGCTGCTCTCCCAGCACGGCCATCTGGAGGTCTTGGTACAAGCCGCTCTGTCGGGCGTGCTGCAGCATCCGCTCGCTGCCGTCGACGCCCACGAAGCGCTGAAATCCTTCCCGCTTCATCTGCGCCACGCCCGCGTGCTTATGATCATCACTCGGACTCGACAGTGAGCGTCGTTGGCTCCAAGCGCCGTACGCACCATCTTGGCCGCCATGCCCGTGCCACAGGCGACGTCCAACACCATCGCCGCTTGGCGCTCGCCGCCAAAGTGGGCGGCGACTTGGGCCGCGACCAGTCGAGGGGCGCGGTACTCGATAAGGTCAACATCCTGTGGAATGGAGAAGAGACCGGCAATGAGGAAATGGCTTCGGCGGAGCCCAAAAAGCTCCCATTCATTTCAGCGGCGGCCGGGGCCGTCTTTCCGCCGTGACGCTTATGGCCGCAGGTTTACGAATCGGGAGTTCCGTGTGTCGGACGTCGGCGTCTGGCTGGCTGAAATCTACGGACGCTTAGTCGCAGCGGCCGACGAAGGCCGCGCATCCGAATACTTGACTAAAAACGAGACCGGTGGACGAGTGGCTAGCGTGAAAGGTGATGGGGTCCTTCCTCGGTGTTGTTTGCATGCCCCCCCGCCCCTCGTCTCAGGGTGCTGCGGTTTCCTCCCGCGTTCCAAAAACACGCGCGGCAGGTTAACGGAACGGCCTGAATTGTCCCACGGCGTGACCGCGAGCGCGGCCGCCCGTCGGTCTCGGCTGCGATCGGCCGGCGAGCCGTTGGGGGCGCGCCCCGCCTGCGGCCCGGAAAGTGCCGGGACGGGCTCCGGCGACCCTCCTGACGTTAAAGCGCTTCACATAAAGGATGGCCGCATGGATGCGCGCCGTGAGGCTGCTTTGCCAACTGCCAAAGAAAAGAACGAAGAGCTTCTCTTGCCTTTATTTTCCGTGCTCGCAGGTGAATGTCACTTGTTCGGAGATTGTGCGCACGATAACAACGACGGTCTCGTGAGAAAACGAGCTCGATTGAACTCGCATCTCTGGGCACCGCTGTCCATACACACACTTGGCGTCAGTTTGTTTCATTCCAACTGTGAATTTCCCTCTTCGAGTGACGCGGTGACCGCCGGCCGCACCGTCGCGCTCTCTATTCCGCCACTGAACCGGATACCGCAGCGCACTCGATCGAAAAAAACTTGCGTCGTGAGAAGCGATCCGAACGAGCGCGTCGGTCAGTGATTGCCAAGCGCGCGATGTGAGATGATGCAAATCATTGACGCGGGTGAGGGCGCCGCGTGATCGTCGCTCGGGTGATTTGCGTTGAAGACCTGCTCGTAATTTGGGGCCCATCGGTCGTAGAACAGCATGAGGTCCTCCGCAGAGCCGTTGTTGTGCGCGGACCGAATGACGTCTCTGGCCATTTCAAAGGTGCGCGGGTGGTCCCCGGACGACATGGTGCGTCGGCGCGCGCCTGTCAAGCGGAAAGACTCGCCAGACACGTCATGACATCGACTTTAGGACGCGCGAAATAAACATCGACGCGGATGCCGTAAACGTCGTAGCGACGGGATGAACGCGAGGCACAGCTCGAGCGTGCAGAAATGAAACGAAACGAAACTGGATCGCACACATGACGCGCGGTGTCGCTGCAGGCAAAGAAACGCGAAGGGGAAAAAAAAAGGTCCGTTAGAAAAAAAAAGTCCGCTAGCGAACCAACGTGACAAAGGGTACGCAGTCTCAACTCAACTCAAGTGTATTTCTCGAGCACTTTCAAACAGTCATCGCTCCATACGAAGTGCTGTACATGGAGCAACTAACATATACAACAAACAGTCAAGCAATAAATCAGTCACAAAGATGGTGGAGAGCACCAAACAGGAACACTAAGATCGAATCTGAGTCATGCTGAGTCATGCAGTGATTTACCTGGAAAGCAAAACAAGAAAGAGGGAGCAAACGTCCAGTGGAAGTGGAAGCGGAGTGGCGACGACTCGCCAAGTCGAAAGCTCCGACGGTTTGCTCTGGGCCGCCTGAAGATGGCGGACGCAGACGCGTCAACCCAACCGGACTCTGTCGGTCACGTGGCAGCCGCTGCGGGGAAACGGCAGCGCCTCCGCCATATTGAATGTGTCAGATACGTCCAGTCTGACAAATAAAAATGCAACGTTAAGTTCAGAAAACACCAGCCCACAAAGTGCACAAACGTCATGCCTCATGCCCCCCCCCCCCGTCCCCCTCTCGCTCTCTCTCTCTTTTCACGCGCTGTCTGCGGACGTGCTTTGAGGCCGCAGTTCCCGATGCGGCCTTTAAGCGGCGCCCTCTCCTCCGCGCTCTCCTTTTCTGAGTCCGAACGAGCTTCCTCAACTTTCGCGACGCCTTGACAAGTCGCGAGCACACTTTTTCCGCAGCTGTTTATGAAAAAAAAAACAAATCCCAAGCAAATGAGGAGTGGCTTTATACGCGCGCGTTTAGTGATGGAGTCTTGCGAAAAGTTGCTGCCTTGTTTGAGTCGCTTTCGGTGGATTTTCGTGCTGTAGTTGAACCTGGCGCCGGAGCAAGTTAGCTTAGCATCAAGCCGACAAACAACAACAACTAAAAAGTCTCCTTCAACTTGTTTGGCCGACAGAAATTTTCGCCTTCCTCTCCGGTAATTAGCTTTGTCTACATGTCAGGGAGTTGTCTTAGTTATGTATGATCGTTTGGAGTTGTGGGAACTGTTTTTTTTGTTTGTTTGTTTGTTTGTTTTTGGGCGGTGGGGACACACTTGGATCGTCTTTGTTTTTGTGTTGTTGAGGCGTGAAAATGCTGAAAATGATGTGGGCTTCCCCGCAGGTTTGCCTGTCAGCTGCGCGCCAAAATGTCCATTTTAGGCTTAAAAAAGAAACAGCCGAAGACGTTCAAAGTCAAAGTCATCACCATGGATGCTGAGATGGAGTTCAGTTGTGAGGTAGGACGTCGCGGACCCGCTCGAGTCTGTTCCGAGCATGCTTTTGAAATTCGTCCTCTCTATGTTGGAAGACAGTTTGCAAACAAAGTGACAACTGTGGAGGACTCGTGTGTGTGTGTGTGTGTGTGTGTGTGTGGCGATAGAGTGTTGACTGATTTGCTCACGTTTTCGATGTTGCTGCCTTTTATTGATTTATTTCTTCAATAGATTTCTTTTTGGAGGGGTTTGGGGGGAACTCCAAAAGCGCAGAGTGACGCTGAGTCTGGCATGAGTTGGCATCGGCGTTTACCTGGTACAATGGCGACTTGGACCAGAACTAAAAACGGCCTTTTTTCCTATCGATGGGTTTTCGGTCGACGGCTGGTTCGCCCATCCGCCTGACAGTGAAGAAGTCGCGCCTTTGAATCCGGGCCGCGGTTTCCCTGTGTGGCGTCGGCACGTTCTCCTTGCGCCAGCGGCCGCGGTCAACCGCCAAAGCGGTCGTGGGCCCGCGCCGAGTTGAGCGGGCAGTGCTTTCAGCAGACACGCCCACATGAAGTTGAAGCTTCTTTTTTGGGGGGGGGGGGGCAACACTCTTCTCTGTGCAAGCCGTATTGAGATTCCAGGGACCCCCAATCCAGAGGTAAAGAGCATGACAATTTGACGTGGCCGTCATCGTCATCATCTTGGGGCTCATCGTCACCTTCATGTGCGCCGGAGAAGGGCGGCCTTGCGCGTTTCATCCCATTCATATGATTCAAAGCTCATCCGCGCCAGTCCGGCAGGCAGACTTTTAAAACGTCTCGACCGGCCGCCGGGCGTTTCCGTCACGCTGTTCTTTCCTCGTCCGAAAGGCACAAAAGGAAGATTTGGAATGAGCAACTTTCTTCTCATGAAGCAAACGTTGCCCAACACGGGCGCTCGCTTGTTGTCACCGAGGCGGCCCCTACCTAACGTTGCGCTTTTGTCCTTCAGGTGAAGTGGAAAGGCAAAGACTTGTTTGACCTGGTGTGTCGCACGGTGGGCTTGAGGGAGACCTGGTTCTTTGGCCTGCGCTACACCGTCAAGGACACGTACGCGTGGCTCAAACCTGACAAACGAGTGAGTGCGGCAAAGGAAGAAAAAAAAAACCCGCGGTTGGATGCTCACATGTCATTGTTGTTCAGTGAAATGAACATGTAAAGATAATCCCCCCCCCCCCCCCACAGGTCCTGGACCAGGAGGTTCCTAAAGACTCGCCCATCACATTTCACTTCCTGGCCAAATTTTTCCCAGAGAAAGTTGAAGAAGAACTCGTCCAAGAAATCACGCAGCACCTCTTCTTTTTGCAGGTTCTTCACTTCGAGCCCAAGCCAAGTCACGCCTTTTCTTGCCACCAACGGGTTCCGGGCAGCCCGGCGCTTAGCGCGTCGACCTCGCAGCGCGGAGGTCGTGGGTTCCATGCCGACTGCGTGGAGTTTGCATGTTCTGCCCGGGCCTGCGCGGCTTTTCTCCGGCTGCTCGGGCTTCCTCCCGCATTCCAAAAACATGCGCGGCAGGCTGATTGAACGCTCCAAATTGTCCCGCCGTGTGAACGTGAGCGCGGATGGTTGTTGGTCTGCGTGTGCCCTGCGATTGGCTGGCGACCGGTTGAGGGTGCCCCCCGCCTACTGCCCGGAGACAGCTGGGATAGGCTCCGGCACCCCCCCCCGCGACCCTTGTGAGGAGAAAGCGCATCGGAAAAGCGGATCGGAAAATGGACGGATGGATAATAGGTTCTACGCGCCCCCACCAAGCAGCAAAATCCATCCGTTTTTGGGGCGGCCATTTTGCCACCGGCTGTCAACTGAAAGTGACCTCGCAGCGCCGAGCGGCCCGACGCTCGCCAATTTTGGCTCTCCCGCAAGCGTGTTCCCCAACGCTTTTTCTTGTCGCCAGGATTATTTGGTTTGGCTGGCGGCGGCAAATTGTTGGCCGAACCGTCGCGGAGTTCTCTTTTCCATTGCTTCGATCATCACGCCACGGGGAAAGCGGGCACACGGACGCGTGCTCGGATGACTTGAGGGACGCAGATAGCGAGAGAGAGCGGCAAAGCGCTTTCGGAAAGAGACGTTTGACCACGAGGACTGGCCTTCGGCGGTCTGGAGGCGACGCATTTTTTTCACGTTGAATTTGATGACTTGCGCGCGACGCTTGATTTCCACATGGCCGAAATTGATCTTGGAATGAGCGAGGCGACCCCCACTACTACCTTGCCAAGAACTCGCCGCTCAGGTCACGAGCGGCACAACTTGCCCGATTTCTAACTCTGGTCATGAGACGTTAGCAAGCCGAGCCCGCCTGGCACCGTGGCGTCATTTTCACTTGACAGCATGTGGCAAAATGGCTGCCCCCCCCCCCTTCCTGTGACGGGCGAAAATGGCTGCATTTTGCTCCTTCATTCCGATTCCACATATGCAATTTTCAGCATAATGCTCGCTTTGGACTCCTGGGGCTGCATAGAACATTTTGGACTTGACTGACACACACACACACACACACACACAAAATCAATTCAATTGTAATGAGTTCATTTGAAGTTTTTGTTGGTTTGTTTTGGTCATGCTGCCACGCTTTTGTTTGTTTGGTTCAGGTGAAAAAGCAGATCTTGGATGAGGAGATCTTCTGTTCGCCCGAAGCTTCCGTTCTTCTGGCCTCGTACGCTGTCCAAGCCAAAGTAAGTCACCACGCCATGTCGCACGCGCACACGACAAGCGGCACCCCCACCCAGTTTTTTTTTTTTGAATTTGTAATAAATACATTCTTTCAAACATTTTTCTCCGCCACTTGCTTCTTCCAGTACGGCGACTACGACCCCAACTTCCACAAGCCGGGCTTCCTGGCGCAGGACGAACTTCTGCCCAAAACAGTTAAGTGCGCCCGCTGCCATGTTGACGCCCACCACACGAGGGCGCTCAACAGCTCGTCCAACTCCTCCGTGCCATAAAACCCGAAATGTCCTGCAGCTTCGACAATCTTGCCCGTTTTCTTTGAAAATTCTTGTGCCGCACTCGTACCCGATCGTCCGTGGCTGTGACCGGTCGCTTTATCTCGAGTGGAGTCGCTCGTCTTTGTTTTCATGATCGAGAAGAAAAAAAAACCCAAAAGCGTCGATCTATCTTTTTGCTGTCCGGATGTCAGGTGCTGATGCAGTACCAGATGACGGCAGACATGTGGGAGGAGAAAATCAGCGCCTGGTACGCCGAGCACCGGGGCATCGCCAGGTAAGCCCCATCCGGCGGGGCGCGGGCGCTCGTCGGCGGCGTCGACGCTGACGAGCGCGGCGCCGTCCTCGCAGGGACGAAGCCGAGATGGAATACCTGAAGATCGCTCAGGACCTGGAGATGTACGGCGTCAGCTACTACGACATCACCGTGAGTGCCCCCCGGCTCCCGTTCCGCACGTCGGCGTCCGTCGGCGCCCGTCGGCGCCCGTCGGCTGAAGGGCTGCCCGTTTGCCGGCCGCAGCAAAACAAGCGCGACACGGACCTGCTGCTGGGCGTGGACGCGCAGGGCCTTCACATCTACAGCCCCAACAGCAAGCTCAGCCCCAACAAGTCCTTCCCCTGGAGCGGCATTCGCAACATCTCCTACAGCGAGAAAGAGGTGAGCGGCCGGCGACGGGCGGCGCCTCCGCCGAGCCCGCCCCTTTCTCCCGCTGACGTTTGCTCTCGCAGTTTACCATCAAGCCTCTGGACAAGAAGAAGGACGTCTTCAAATTCTACTCGTCTCAGCTCCGCGTCAACAAGCTGGTGAGTCCGGCGGAGACGGGCGGAGACGGGCGGGGCGGGGCGCGCTTGACGCGCTCTGGCGTCTTCAGATCCTGCAGCTGTGCATCGGCAACCACGATCTGTTCATGCGGCGGAGGAAGGTGGACTCCATCGAGGTGCAGCAGATGAAGGCGCAGGCCAAAGAGGAGAAGGCTCGCAAGAAGGTGAGACGGCTTTGGCCGGCCGGGGTTTGCCGCGCGCTGACGCCGGGCGGCCCTCGCCCTCCCTCGCCCTCCCTCGCCCCAGATGGAGCGGCAGATCCTGGCGCGGGAGAAGCAGATGCGGGAGGAGGCCGAGCGAGCCAAAGAGGAGATGGAGCGGCGGCTTTTCCAGCTGCAGGATGAGGCGCGCCTGGCCAACGAGGCGCTGGTGAGCTCGCCGCTTTCTCTCGGGCAGTTCCGCCCACCCGCAAAATGCCCGCTAACCTTCGCGGCTCCAAATCATTTGACCGTCCCCGAGCCCGCAGCGGGCCGGTGGACGTTTCCCGCCTCAACCGGGGGTCCCCGTTTGACCGGGCGCCCCCGCACGCACTCGGTGGCCGACGGCGCCGAGTGGCCAAACGGGAAGTGGCCACAAAGACCGGAGGGGGCACGCCGTCGGCTCAAACTCCCGCCGTGGGAATTTTGCCCTCCGGGTTCTCGTCGCCTCGCCAAAACCGGCGAACCCTCAAAGTCGGCTTGAGTCGCAAACTGCTTCCGCTTCCCGGCCGTGTCCGTCCCTTCGTTTGGCCGCCGGAAATCATTTCGTTCCACAATCGCTCCGGCGTAAGGTGGCGCGCAAATCGCGACTCCTCAAAGTCACGGCGAATACTTGGCGCTTCAGTTCGCGTCCGGAAAGGAGAACGCTTGTCGAACGGGCGCCTGCTCCGGAGCAGTCTGAAAGATCCGGATCTTTCAGACGCGGGCAAACGCCCGCCGGCCCCGTTTGATTGCGGCCCTTGCCGCGAAACGGCCATTGTGGGCGCTTGACCGAACGGCTCCGCGGGCTCGCCCTTCAGCTGCGCTCGGAGGAGACGGCCGACCTGCTGGCGGAGAAAGCTCAGATCGCCGAGGAGGAAGCCAAGCTGCTGGCCCACAAGGCGGCCGAGGCCGAGCAGGAGCGCCAGCGCTTGGAGGTCAACGCCATGAAGACCAAAGAGGAGAAGCGGCTGATGGAGCAGAAGATGAGGGAGGCCGAGCAGCTGGCCGTCAAGCTGGTGGAGCAGTCGGAGAGAAGGTCCCGCCGGCCCCCCTCCCGCGCCGCCCCCCCGGCCCCCTCGCGCTCACGCCGCTTTTGTGCTTTTGCGCTCGCAGACTGAAGGAAGCCGACCACCTGAAGCAGGACCTCAGCGAGGCCAAGGACGCCGAGAGGAGGGCCAAGCAGAAACTGCTGGAGATCACCAAGACCACCTACCCGGTACGCCAGCAAAAGTCGTACACCCGATTTGCTGACGTTTGGACGAGTGCGCGGCGGAACGAGGAGCCCGTCAAATAGTCGGGCCGCGTTTCACCCGAAGGCGAGCTCGTCTTTGGAGGCGAGGCGTCCGCGCGCGGGCGGGTCACGGCCGCGCCGCAGCCCGTCTCGGCTGATTTCCCCCGACCGCCGGTGGGGCCGCAATAGACAAGCGAGCGTTGTGTGGACGCTGCGACGATGTTTGCGGGGTGGGGGCGGCTCGCCGGCGCCCTTTCTCTCAAGCCGGCGACGTCGGTGTCTCACGTGCTGGTTTTTCTCCGCTCTTGTCTTGTGCGTTCAGCTGATCGCGGCTTATTCGGCCCCCGCCGCCGCCGCCGCGCCGCCGGCGGCCGCGCCTCCGGAAGCCGACTCGGCCTACGAAGCCTCCTCGTCGTCCCGTCTGGACTTTAAAGACTCCGACATGAAGAGGCTCTCCATGGAGATTGAGCGCGAGAGGTCAAGCGGACGCGCGGCCCCCTCCTCTCGCTTCTTCGTCTTCTGTCCGTGACACCGCGTGTGTGTGTGTGTGCGTGTTAGGCTGGAGTACATGGAAAAGAGCAAACATCTTCAGGACCAACTGAAGGAGCTCAAGTCTGAGATTGAGTCTCTGAAGCTGGAGGAGCAGCAGCAGCAGCAGCAGCATCCTCCTCCTCCTCTTCCTCATCGGCAGGCGTCCGCCAAGTACACGCTGCACGACGGCAGGGCTTACGTCCCAGAAGCGCCGTACATTCCTCACGCCAACGTAAGCACCCGCACGCGCGTCCTTGTCGTCATGCTCGCTCGCTCGCAGGCAGGGAAATTTCCTCCATTGCTCGACTTGGAAAAGGCAAAGCATTTTTCAGGACCGGATCAATTCTCCGAGAGTGAAAGTTCACAATATCGACAAACAAAGTCGCTCCATCCGTCCGGCCGGCCGTGTCTGTTTTTTCTATTTGAATAAAATAGTAGCGCCGCCACGTATGAAGAAAGCGCAGGCGCGTTGCCCGTTGTTGACGGCCTCCCTTCTTTTTGTCTTGGGCAGAGAAATTCGGCCTACGCGTCTCCGCTGGCCTACTTCGACGAGGTCTGAGGAAGAGGAGCGCCAAGAGCGTCGGCGCGCCTCGCGCGGACGTTCGCAACACCGAAGAGATTTGCTCGGCCTTTGTGGCCGGGCGCCTTTCGGATGCCTTTGACGGGATCGCGGCCGACGCGCTCCCACCCGACTGCTTCCGCTCTTCTTCTTGCCGCTCGGTCGGGGCGCGTGGCCCGGCCCTCCCGCGCGCTCGTCGGCGCTGCCGATTGTGGGCGGCGCGTTTGACTGACGGGTGCCGTTTCGTTCCCGTCGAGGCGACGCTCCGCGACTCCGCCTCTTTTATTTGGCTTCATTTTGCATCATCATTCAAGTGTGCTATTTATTTCAGTTTCATTTCATCACCCCCGCAACCTTTCTTCCGTGTTTATCGGATGATGCGACGACTGAATTTCTTTCCGACCGTTTTCTACTGTGTCCACATCATTTGAATAGAATTTGTTACCAAGCCCCGGCTGGCCCTTCTTTCTTCTTCTCGCCGCGTGGAAATCCCTCGTCACGTTCATTTTCTTTTCTCGTGGTGGTTTCTTTGCTTTTAGTTCAGGAGGAAAAGGCTCCAAGGACCACGAAATCGCCCCCCCCAGGAGTCGAATGTCAAGTAGAAAGCGCTTCACATTGGAGCACAATCGATTTGATTGTTAGGCATAAATATCTTGAGGAGGAAGAGGAATGGCTCAGCGGGAACTTGGATCGTGTCAAGAAACGGGGCAAACCAACACCGAATCTCTGCACCGGCTCCTCTCCAACCGGAGGCGGGTGTCTGACGTCACGACGCAGCCGCCCTTTCCGATCGGCGGCGCCTTACCGCCAAGGCAGAAGAAGGCCGCGGACGTCCACTTGTGAGATTTGAGAGCCGGAGCCGAGTTGTCTTTGCTCGGTATTTTTGGGGAATAGAAACGCGTCGCAATCTCAACATGGATGGACACAGTTTCCATTCTTTGTGTGAAATGCACTCTGCCTAAAACATGGGATGATTTTTTTTTTTTTTCCCTTCTTCTGAAAGGTATGGTCACGTCCCCAAAAGACGTCTTCCACCTGCCGCCGAGGAAGGGCCGCCGCGGTGAAGAAACGTCAACCTGCCACGTGACGATTTGCTCACTTATATTGGCATGGAGCAATTAGTTTATCAGGACACTTCGAACATTGTGATTTTGTCCCAATCTATGTTTGTGCCTGCGTCTAGATGGAGTCGAGCTGATTTTGTATTGCTGCCAATCCTACTTTCCACTTGTCAACGTACGCCGAGTTGACGAGAGCGCTGTTGATTTGGAAGCGGTCGCGGGCGTTTCAACGTGCGCGCCATCTCAATCCAAAATCGAAAAGTTGGCTTTGCGGCGGCGCCTTGCCGCCAAGGCAGAAGAAGGCCGCGGACGTCCACTTGTGAGATTTGAGAGCCGGAGCCGAGTTGTCTTTGCTCGGTATTTTTGGGGAATAGAAACGCGTCGCAATCTCAACATGGATGGACACAGTTTCCATTCTTTGTGTGAAATGCACTCTGCCTAAAACATGGGATGATTTTTTTTTTTTTCCCTTCTTCTGAAAGGTACGGTCACGTCCCCAAAAGACGTCTTCCACCTGCCGCCGAGGAAGGGCCGCCGCGGTGAAGAAACGTCAACCTGCCACGTGACGATTTGCTCACTTATATTGGCATGGAGCAATTAGTTTATCAGGACACTTCGAACATTGTGATTTTGTCCCAATCTATGTTTGTGCCTGCGTCTAGATGGAGTCGAGCTGATTTTGTATTGCTGCCAATCCTACTTTCCACTTGTCAACGTACGCCGAGTTGACGAGAGCGCTGTTGATTTGGAAGCGGTCGCGGGCGTTTCAACGTGCGCGCCATCTCAATCCAAAATCGAAAAGTTGGCTTTGAATTTGAGGGATTTATTGCAAGTTGAGATGAACCCCGGCAGTGACAATAAATATCTGCGTGCGCTTGCGCTCGCCGTCATCCAAGTGACGAACCAAAATGCATTGCGCTTGTTGTTGGAGCTGCCAAACGCTGCGAATCTTTCGCAGCAAAGAGCAGCACGCGGCAGGAAGTTGACCCGTGGCGCGCATCGACGTCAGGCGCGGCGCGGCGCGGCGCGGCGCATGGAAGTCGGGCGTCGGTTCGCTCGCGTGTTCCGAGGGCGTTCAGAACTCGGTGTGCGCGTGGTCCCCGCGGGCGAAGGGGGGCCCGTCGGCGGGCTTGACGAAGACGCCCTCCATGGCTTTCCACAGGCTGTGCTGCCCGCGGCCGGCCATGGCGTGCACCTCCCTCTGGCCGTTGATGGGCCGCCCGTACTGCTCGCCCGTCACCGCCAGCGCCGCCTCGGTGGCTTTGTGGCGCAGCCGCACGGCCTCGGCGCGCTTCCACGCCGCCCCGCCGCACTCCACGACCCACTCGTCCAGGTGGTCGCCCTCGCCCTCTTCGCCGAACGCGCTCACTTCCTGCAAAGGAGGCACCGCCGCGTCACAGCGCGTCGCCGACAACGCGTTTTCTTTCCGTTCCGGCCGCCCCCACCTGGTTGGAAGACAACGGTGAGCTGAAGTAGTGGCTGTGCAGGTTGCGTCCCGTGTTGACGTGCGTCAGACGGATGTTTTGACCGCACTTGACGGCGTTCCCTCGAAGGCAGGCGGCGTCGCCGGTGCCGCGCACGCTCCAGTAGCTGTTGCTGTCCTCCACGCTGGTCACGCCCGTCACCGACTGCTGGCCGCTTCCTGCGCCGCACACGCGCGCGACAGGTCAGAGCGGACGCGAGCGCCAGCGCGACCTCCGGCGAGAGACGACGTCGTCATCTTTTTGACGCGCGGCGGCCGCGGGGGTCGTCTTTTTCTTTTCTTTTGGGGACTTCGCGAGGAGTAGGCGCCGGCGTCAATAGATCGCCAAAGCTTCCGAGCGAAAAGGTCGAGCAATGTGGTCAAAGTGAAGTTCATTCGCACGCGCCAACGAGCCACTCGGCAAAGACACGCAAATGGCAAGCAGAACGGGTGACTTGTCGCACGCCTACGTTGGCACTTCTAGCGACTGACCTGAGCCGTAGCGCACGTCATGCGAATGAAGTCTCACGTTGTGTTTGACGTTCAAGAGTTTGAGCACGGAACCGCACGTGACAAAAGTTAACTCCGAGCCGAGCGAGCTCCGGAACAAAATCGCCCAAAACACAACAAGACAGGCGTAAAGGCGTGAAGGAAGCACAAGCTTGACCGAATCCATTCTTCTTCTCCTTCTCCTTCTTCTCCTTCTTCTTCTCCCCACAACTCGTCCGATTCTGTTTTCCGCTCTGTCGCTGGGACGACGTCATCAATCAGGAAACGCGAACCGGATGTCACAGCGACCCCGGTGTCGTCGAGCTCAAACTACACTTGCACATTTACGATACTGTACATCGTTATTTGTACAGCGCTTTCACACCAGCTGCAGCTGAAACAAAAAGCGCGTTAAGGCTAACTGACCTTGTGGAAATGTATGTCTGAAGGCAACGCAAACTTTGATTACGAACATAGAAGTAGTATACTTGCACATTATGCGCACTACTCAACGCGATCTTTTGAAATTCAAGAAAAACGCGATCGTGTTGTGTCGGTTTTGGGAAACGTCCCCTGAATCGGAGCCACCAGGGGGCGACAACGTGCAGCTGAAAAGGCCGCCGGATATGGCTTCCGGTATTCCGGAAGTCATCGCGCAGTCCGCCATTTTTCTCCTAAGCGCACACCAAACTCGACGAGCGGATTTTGCGCTCTGACGCATCTCGTCGCTGCAGCGAGGCGGACGCGTGAGTCCCGTTTTCGTGCTTGTCGGCGTTGTGAAGCCAGCCGCCGAGACGGCGATGTCGGCGCGGCCGCTGCCCGCCAGCCGTTGCTTGTTGTGCTCGGAGCTCATTCCGATGCTAACTTAGCGTAGCGCGTTTGCTGTGCCAATTTCAGTCGAAGGCCTCCTTTTCCCTTCCATTTATTTTCTTGGTTTTTCTCGCGTGTCGAAACGTGCCATCCGGCGTCCCCACATCAATCGCACGCAGCCTTTAGCGGCTCGCTCTCACGCGTTAATAGATGCATCCTAGCGCCTCGATGCCAGCGCGCTAACTAGCGTCCGCATTGATAAACAAGATCGTGCCTTCTTCCTTACTTGGTGAGAATTGGCTGAAGAATTTCAGCGGAAACACGTTGCGCTTCGAATAAAGCCCGGGACTCCATTGATTATTTCGCCCCGGAGCCTCGAACATGTTAGTGTGACATGTTCTTGTCGATGTCCGCATTGCAACGTCGCGATCGCTTGTCCCGAGGAATTTTAGCACACGCCGGGCTCAGGCTCGCGTCTTTGTGTTGATTCGTAACACAAGATGGCTTTTAATCGCCATTCCGAAACGTTGAGATTTTTGTCGCAAATCGTGAGATGGTCTCCATTCTTTTTTTTTCCAGTCGAAGAACATTTTCACTTTCGACGGGGAAATCGGCTTCAACACCCTGTGATCAAATGTTTAACCAGGGACTTAGGAAGTGCGTTTGACAATGTCTGTCCGCTGGGTTTGTGATATTGCGAGCAGGAGTAGCGGTCATGTCGGACTTCATCGAGAGCGAGGCTGAAGAGTCTGAGGAGGAGTTTGAAGAGAAAGACCTGAAGCCCAAGAAGACGCAGAGGTTCATGGAGGACGACGGTGTGTGTGCGCGTGTGTGTGTGTGTGTGCGTGCGTGCGTGCGCGCGCGCGCGCGCGCGCGCGCGCGCGCGCGCGCGCGCGCGCGCGCGCGCGCGCGCGCGCGCGCGCGCGCGCGCGCGCGCGCGCGCGCGGTGCACTCGCTCTCAACACTCACATGCCATATCACCACAGATGACGAGGAAGAGGAGAACATGGAAGACCAAGACGAGCGGGGCAACTTGCGTGGGCTCATCGACGATGGCGAGGAGGAGGAGGAGGAGGAGGATGTGGGAGCTCAAAAGAGTGCAAGTGATGGTGGCAGTGACTCAGAGGAGGAAGTCCGCCATCGCCGCAAAAAGCGGAGTAAGTTTTCTACACTTGAAGAAAGGTCTTGAGTTGGGGAAAAGGCAAAAGATCAAGCAGGTGTCTACTTATTGGGAACAGATTTACACGAGGAAGGGCGCATGTATTGGGCCTGAGCTTGGGCGTTCTTGCCCCTTCTCGGCCCCCTTTCAGCCCTCATATGACTTCTTTCGTGTCCCCCACCTTGCTCTTTATAACGCAGCACACGCAAGCTCCAGAAAAGGACAACAGTTAAATCAACGACAAAATGTCTTTCAAACCTGGCGTGACCGCTTAAATGTCGACACTCATCAACATCAAAACTGCTCCTCTTAAAAATGCCAACGCAGATTGAGCAGGTGTGACGTCCACCGCAGCGAGAATTTTGACAAATGACGTGGTTATTTTTTCTTTTTTTAATGTGTACATCACTTGTCATCTTTTCATTTCTCCATTGGTCTGTCTGACTGTCATTTGTTGCCGATTCAGCCCCAAATTCTTCAAACGCTAGCTAGATGAAGAGCTCAAGTGCTTGACACCTCTTCTGCCACTTTCCCTCTCGACAGATTACAACGACCTGGACGAGGATGACCTGGACCTCATTGAGGAAAACTTGGGTGTCAAAGTCAAGAGGAGGGTAAGCGTGCGTCTTTTTGTCCTCGCTCGGCTTCTCTTCACCAGCTGCGGCAAAATTTGACTCGCCGTCATTCTTTCTCGCGCCGCAGAAGAAGAAATACGACCGTGTGAAAACACTGGATGACGACGACGACGACGAGAAAGACCTGATCGCAGACGAAATCTTTCACGGCGACGGAGACGGCGAGCTGGAGGAGGGCGAGGCCGTCCACGAGCCTCTCCAGCAGGCGGACGACGATGAGGAAGGAGAGGAGGAGGAGTCGGGTAAAGCCCGAGAGTCCCGACGCAAATGCGGACGCGCTTCGTCCTTCGGCCTGTGCCTTTTTTTTTGCTCCAAACTTTGCAAAAGATCTGCCGCACTTTTATGCAATATATCGAAAGAAGAAAAAGTACACGTGATTCCTCGAAGCTGCAGCGACCCCGTCAAAAAGGTCAACGTGACCAAGATGGATTATGGCCACGCTGAAAAGAAACAAACTATGTAAAATTGAAAAATGAGGGAAAAAATCCCCACTTGTCGTGATATTCTGTTTCCATTGAATTCCGCAGATATCGATGACTTTATCGTGGATGATGATGGGCAGCCCATCACCAAAAAACGGGGCAAGAAATTCTCCGGCTACACCGACGCGTGAGTGCTGCGCTCTTGCCCGCCCGCGTCTTCGGCCCGTGTCCGCAACGACGCACGTTTGCGTCGATCGCTGAGAGCAAGAACAAACGTTTGAAACGAGTGGACGCCTTCCAGTTGAAACGCGGCCCCTCGCGTTCCCGCAGAGCCCTGCAGGAGGCGCAGGAGATCTTCGGCGGCGACTTTGACTTCGCGGAGTTCGACGCCGACGCGTACGACCAGGGCGAGGAGGAGGAGGAGGACCAGGACGAGGAGGGCTGGGACCGACCCAAGAAGCAGACCAAGCGGCGGCAGGGTCGCAAGAGCATCTTTGAGCTCTACGAGCCCAGCGAGCTGGAGAGCAGTCACATGACCGACCAGGACAACGAGATCCGCTCCACCGACATGCCCGAGAGGTTCCAGGTGAACGCCGCCGCCTTTGTTTTTTCTTTTCGCGTCGTCGTGCCCGCCCCACCCCCGTTGCGGAGGTTCTGCCGTCGCCGTCGAGCGGGAAACGTCTCAGAGTATCGGCTTTGTTGTAAAGAACATGAAAATGGAGGACTTTGACCCTTCTGAGGCGCCATCCAATCTTAATGCAATTTGTTCAAAGAGCAAAACAATTTCCCCCGCCAAGAAAAGGAAGATGGCAGTCGTCGGTTCGATCTCAAACTCACCATACGGCCGCTTTAGGCGGTTTCAACGTGACCCGTCATACAGATGTCCCCCCCCAAAAAAGTTCAAAGACAGACTGCGGCTTCGCTTTGGCAACAATGAGGCTGCGGCGGTGCCGCTCCCGTCCAAACGATACTGATCGCGATCCCGTTTGTGTGGCAGCTGCGATCCATCCCCGTCAAACCGGCCGAGGACGACGAGCTGGAGGAGGAAGCGGAGTGGATCTTCCGGCACGGCTTCTCCACGCTCACCATTTCCATTCAGGTCTGTGGCGCTTTTCTCTCGAGAGCCGGCGGCGGCGGCCCAGCGCGGTCATCCCAACGTGCTCGTCTGCCAGCAGGAGAGCGCCGACTATTTGGAGCGCGGGACTTCCACCAACTTCAGCCGCCAGGGTCCCAGCACCACCGCCAAAATCAAAGAGGCGCTCAACTTCATGAGGAACCAGCAATTTGAGGTCTCTTTGGAGACGCTGACGACACGCGCTGCGGGCAAACAAAACACACACACACACATACGTCACCTTGTACAAATGCGGGACGGCTTTGCTTCAGTTTGCGGGAGCAAACGCCAGCTGGACCGCGCGAAAAAGCTTCACATCCCGTCGAGCGAGCCTTGTAATCTCCGTATCGTATCAATGTCCAGACATTCAGATCAAAACTGACACCAATGTCGGTCATATGGACTGTTCACGCTCGTGCTGCGTGGAGCGCTTCGGCCAACCAACCACATCTGTCCTTTCAAATTTGACGTTGAGTGACAGCTAGAGCCAGCCAATGGCAATCATCTTCCAGAGAGAGGGGGCTGGGGGGGGGGGGCGCACACACACGGGGAAAACCAGGCGGCTAGCGCGATTGATGTCATTCAGATTCAGGCTTTTCAATACACTTATTCAAGTTTCGCGATTCCAAGAAAAAAAAGATTTCGAGCCGTTTCTGGTGGTCCATATTTTCAGCCCTTAATGCGTAAAGCCTCGCCGGTATGGACAAATTGCTTCGAAACCACACACGCATTCACGTCCTTTCCACACATGCGCGCAAACACAACAGACACCTCGGTTGGGGCATTAAAAAAAGGATTGTCAAAGCACGGTTGCTGTACGATGTGAATTTCATTCTCTTTTATTTATGATTTGTTCATGGTGACGTTCTTTTAAAAAAAAACAACACAGCCCTTCTGTAATATTGTGATGATGTCATTATCGAGATATCTGACATGAATATCCAGGTGTGAAGATTTTGTCCATTTCTCCCAGCCCTAATGCTCAGCGTGTTTTTTTTTTTTTCCAGGTTCCCTTTATCGCGTTCTACAGAAAAGAATACGTGGAGCCAGAGCTGAATATCAATGACCTGTGGAAGGTGTGGCAGTGGGATGAAAAGGTA